GTTTAACACACGGTGGGTTGAACACACGGTGGGTTGAACACACGGTCGGTTTAACACACGGTGGGTTTAACACACGGTGTGTTGAACACACGGTGGGTTGAACACACGGTGTGTTGAACACACGGTGGGTTGAACACACGGTAGGTTGAACACACGGTGGGTTGAACACACGGTGGGTTGAACACACGGTGGGTTGAACACACGGTGGGTTGAACACACGGTGGGTTTAACACACGGTGGGTTGAACACACGGTGGGTTAAACACACGGTGGGTTGAACACACGGTGGGTTGAACACACGGTGGGTTAAACACACGGTCGGTTTAACACACGGTGGGTTTAACACACGGTGGGTTGAACACACGGTGGGTTGAACACACGGTGTGTTGAACACACGGTGCGTTGAACACACGGTAGGTTGAACACACGGTGGGTTGAACACACGGTGGGTTGAACACACGGTGGGTTGAACACACGGTGGGTTGAACACACGGTGGGTTTAACACACGGTGGGTTGAACACACGGTGGGTTGAACACATGGTGGGTTGAACACACGTTGGGTTTAACACACGGTGGGTTTAACACACGGTGGGTATAACACACGGTGGGTTTAACACACGGTGGGTTGAACACACGGTGGGTTTAACACACGGTGGGTTTAACACACGGTGGGTTTAACACACAGTGGGTGGAACACACGGTGGGTTTAACACACGGTGGGTTTAACACACGGTGGGTTTAACACACGGTGGGTTTAACTCACGGTGGGTTGAACACACGGTGTGTCGAACACACGGTGGGTTGAACACACGGTAGGTTGAACACACGGTGGGTTGAACACACGGTGGGTTGAACACACGGTGGGTTGAACACACGGTGGGTTGAACACACGGTGGGTTTAACACACGGTGGGTTGAGCACACGGTGGGTTAAACACACGGTGGGTTGAACACACGGTGGGTTGAACACACGGTGGGTTAAACACACGGTCGGTTTAACACACGGTGGGTTTAACACACGGTGGGTTGAACACACGGTGGGTTGAACACACGGTGTGTTGAACACACGGTGGGTTGAACACACGGTAGGTTGAACACACGGTGGGTTGAACACACGGTGGGTTGAACACACGGTGGGTTGAACACACGGTGGGTTGAACACACGGTGGGTTTAACACACGGTGGGTTGAACACACGGTGGGTTGAACAGATGGTGGGTTGAACACACGTTGGGTTTAACACACGGTGGGTTTAACACACGGTGGGTATAACACACGGTGGGTTTAACACACGGTGGGTTGAACACACGGTGGGTTTAACACACGGTGGGTTTAACACACGGTGGGTTTAACACACAGTGGGTGGAACACACGGTGGGTTTAACACACGGTGGGTTTAACACACGGTGGGTTTAACACACGGTGGGTTTAACACACGGTGGGTTTAACACACGGTGGGTTTAACACACGGTGGGTTGAAGACACGGTGGGTTGAAGACACGGTGGGTTGAACACACGGTGGGTTGAACACACGGTAGGTTTAACACACGGTGGGTTGAACACACGGTGGGTTGAACACACGGTAGGTTGAACACACGGTTGGTTGAACACACTGTATGTTTAACACACTGTGGGTTGAACACACGGTGGGATGAACACACGGTGGGTTGAACACACGGTAGGTTTAACACACGGTGGGTTGAACACACGGTGGGTTGAACACATGGTGGGTTGAACACACGGTGGGTTGAACACACGGTGGGTTGAACACACGGTGGGTTTAACACACGGTGGGTTGAACACATGGTGGGTTGAATACACGGTGTATTGAACACACGGTGGGTTTAACACACGGTGGGTTTAACACACGGTGGGTTTAACACACGGTGGGTTTAACGCACGGTTGGTTTAACACACGGTGGGTTTAACACACGGTGGGTTTAACACACGGTGGGTTTAACACACGGTGGGTTTAACACACGGTGGGTTGAAGACACGGTGGGTTGAACACACGGTGGGTTGAACACACGGTAGGTTTAACACACGGTGGGTTGAACACACGGTGGGTTGAACACACGGTGGGTTGAACACACGGTTGGTTGAACACACTGTATGTTTAACACACTGTGGGTTGAACACACGGTGGGATGAACACACGGTGGGTTGAACACACGGTAGGTTTAACACACGGTGGGTTGAACACACGGTGGGTTGAACACATGGTGGGTTGAAAACACAGTGGGTTGAACACACGGTGGGTTGAACACACGGTGGGTTTAACACACGGTGGGTTGAACACATGGTGGGTTGAATACACGGTGTATTGAACACACGGTGGGTTTAACACACGGTGGGTTTAACACACGGTGGGTTTAACTCACGGTGGGTTTAACACACGGTGGGTTTAACACACGGTGGGTTTAACACACGGTGGGTTTAACGCACGGTGGGTTTAACACACGGTGGGTTTAACATACGGTGGGTCTAACACACGGTGGGTCTAACACACGGTGGGTCTAACACACGGTGGGTTGAACACACGGTGTGTTGAACACACGATGGATTGAACACACGGTGTGTTGAATATACGGTAGGTTTAACACACGGTGGGTATAACACACGGTGGGTTGAACACACGGTGGGTCTAACACACGGTGGGTTTGAACACATGGTGGGTTTAACACACGATGTAAAAAAAAGGTTGGTTGAACACACGGTGGGTCTAACACACGGTGGGTTTAACACACGGTGGGTTTAACACACAGTGGGTTGAACACACAGCGGGTTGAACACACGGTGGGTTTAACACACGGTGGGTTGAACACACGGTGGGTTGAACACACGGTGGGTTTAACACACGGTGGGTTGAACACACAGTGGGTTTAACACACGGTGGGTTGAACACACAGTAGGTTGAACACACGGTGGGTTTAACACACGGTGGGTTTATCACACGGTGGGTTTAACACACGGTGGGTTTAACACACGGTGGGTTTAACACACGGTGGGTTGAACACACGGTAGGTTTAACACACGGTGGGTTGAACACACGGTGGGTTGAACACATGGTGGGTTGAACACACGGTGGGTTGAACACACGGTGGGTTGAACACACGGTGGGTTTAACACACGGTGGGTTGAACACACGGTGGGTTTAACACACGGTGTGTTTAACACACGGTGGGTTGAACACACGGTGTATTGAACACACGGTGGGTTTAACACACGGTGGGTTCAACACACGGTGGGTTTAACTCACGGTGGGTTTGACGCACGGTGGGTTTAACACACGGTGGGTTGAACACATGGTGGGTTGAACACACGGTGGGTTTAACGCACGGTGGGTTCAACACACGGTGGGTTTAACACACGGTGGGTTTAACGCACGGTGGGTTTAACACACGGTGGGTTTAACACATGGTGGGTTTAACACACGGTGGGTTTAACACACGGTGGGTTTAACGCACGGTGGGTCTAACACACGGTGGGTTTAACACACGGTGGGTCTAACACACGGTGGGTCTAACACACGGTGGGTTGAACACACGGTGTGTTGAACACACGATGGATTGAACACACGGTGTGTTGAATATACGGTAGGTTTAACACACGGTGGGTTTAACACACGGTGGGTTGAACACACGGTGGGTCTAACACACGGTGGGTTTGAACACATGGTGGGTTTAACACACGGTGGGTTTAACACACGGTGGGTTGAACACACGGTGGGTCTAACACACGGTGGGTTTAACACACGGTGGGTTTAACACACGGTGGGTTGAACACACAGTGGGTTGAACACACGGTGGGTTTAACACACGGTGGGTTGAACACACGGTGGGTTGAACACACGGTGGGTTTAACACACGGTGGGTTGAGCACACGGTGGGTTCAACACACGGTGGGTTGAACACACGGTGGGTTGAACACACGGTGGGTTTAACACACGGTGGGTTTATCACACGGTGGGTTTAACACACGGTGGGTTTAACACACGGTGGGTTTAACACACGGTGGGTTGAACACACGGTGGGTTGAACACACGGTGGGCTAACACACGGTGGGTTTAACGCACGGTGGGTTTAACACACGGTGGGTTTAACACACGGTGGGTTTAACACACGGTGGGTCTAACACACGGTGGGTCTAACACACGGTGGGTTGAACACACGGTGTGTTGAACACACGATGGATTGAACACACCGTGTGTTGAATATACGGTAGGTTTAACACACGGTGGGTCGAACACACGGTGGGTTGAACACACGGTGGGTCTAACACACGGTGGGTTTGAACACATGGTGGGTTTAACACACGGTGGGTTTAACACACGGTGGGTTGAACACACGGTGGGTCTAACACACGGTGGGTTTAACACACAGTGGGTTTAACACACGGTGGGTTGAACACACAGTGGGTTGAACACACGGTGGGTTTAACACACGGTGGGTTGAACACACGGTGGGTTGAACACACGGTGGGTTTAACACACGGTGGGTTTAACACACGGTGGGTTTAACACACGGAGGGTTGAACACACGGTGGGTTGAACACACGGTGGGTTTAACACACGGTGGGTTTATCACACGGTGGGTTTAACACACGGTGGGTTTAACACACGGTGGGTTTAACACACCGTGGGTTGAACACACGGTGGGTTGAACACACGGTGGGTTTAACACACTGCGGGTTGAACACACGGTGGGATGAACACACGGTGGGTTGAACACACGGTAGGTTTAACACACGGTGGGTTGAACACACGGTGGGTTGAACACACGGTGGGTTGAACACACGGTGGGTTGAACACACTGTGGGTTGAACACACGGTGGGTTGAACACACGGTGGGTTGAACACACGGTGGGTTGAACACACGGTGGGTTGAACACACGGTGGGTTGAACACACGGTGGGTTTACCACATGGTGGGTTGAACAAACGGTGGGTTGAACACACGGTGGGTTGAACACACGGTGGGTTGAACACACGGTGGGTTGAACACATGGTGCGTTGAACACACGGTAGGTTGAACACACGGTGGGTTGAACACACGGTAGGTTGAACACACGGTGGGTTGAACACACGGTGGGTTGAACACACGGTGGGTTTAACACAGGGTGGGTTGAACACATGGTGGGTTGAACACACGGTGGGTTTAACACACGGTGGGTTTAACACACGGTGGGTATAACACACGGTGGGTTTAACACACGGTGGGTTGAACACACGGTGGGTTTAACACACAGTGGGTTGAACACACGGTGGGTTGAACACACGGTGGGTTGAACACACGGTGGGTTGAACACACGGTGGGTTTAGCACACGGTGGGTTTAACACACGGTGGGTTGAACACACGGTGGGTTTAACACACGGTAGGTTTCACACACGGTGGGTTGAACACACAGTGGGTTGAACACACAGTTGGTTGAACACACTGTATGTTTAACACACTGGGGGTTGAACACACGGTGGGATGAACACGCGGTGGGTTGAACACACGGTAGGTTTAGCACACGGTGGGTTGAACACACGGTGGGTTGAACACACGATGGGTTGAACACACGGTGGGTTGAACACACGGTGGGTTGAACACACAGTGGGTTTAACACACGATGGGTTGAACACACGGTGGGTTGAACACACGGTAGGTTTAATACACGGTGGGTTGAACACACGATGGGTTGAACACACGGTGGGTTGAACACACGGTGGGTTGAACACACGTTGGGTTGAACACACGGTGGGTTGAACACACGGTGGTTTGAACACACGGTGGGTTGAACACACAGTAGGTTTAACACCCCGCCCCATTCTCCCGCTTTCCAACACCCCACCCCAATCTCCCGCTTTCCATCACCCCGCCCCATTTTCCCGCTTTCCATCACACCGCCCCATTCTCCCGCTTTCCATCACCTCGTGTCATTCTCCCGCTTTCCATCGCCCCACTCCATTCTCCCTCCTTCGATCACCCTGCCCCAATCTCCCTCCTTCGATCACCCCTTCCCATTCTCCCTCCTTCCATCAACCCTCCCGATTCTCCCACTTTCCATCACCCGCCCAGTTTTCCCGCTTTCCATCATCCCGCCATGTTCTCCTGCTTTCCATCACCCCGCCCCATTCTCCCGCTTTCCATCACCCCGCCCCATTCTCCCGCCTTCCATCGCCCCGCCCCATTCTCCCTCCTTCCATCAACCCGCCCCTTTCTCCCGCTTTCCATCACCCCGCCCATTCTCTCGCTTTCCATCACCCCGCCCCATTCTCCCACTTTCCATCACCCCGGCCCATTCTCCCTCCTTCCATCACCTCGCCCCATTCTCCCGCCTTCCAACACCCCGCCCCATTCTCCCGCTTTCTATCACCCCGCCCTATTCTCCCGCTTTCCATCACCCCGCCCCTTTCTCCCGCTTTCCATCACCATGCCCCATTCTTCCGCTTTCCATCACCGCGCCCCATTCTCCCGCTTTCCATCACCCCGCCCGATTCTCCCGTTTTCCATCACCCCGCGCCATTCTCCCGCCTTCCATCACCCCGCCCCATTCTCCCGCATTCCATCACTCCGCCCCATTCTTCTGCTTTCCATCACCCCGCCCCATTCTCCCTCCTTCCATCACCCCGCCCCATTCTCCCGCCTTCCATCACCCTGCCCCATTCTCCCGCTTTACATCACCCCGCCCCATTCTCCCGCTTTCCATCACCCTGCCCCATTCTCCCGCTTTCCATCACCGCGCCCCATTCTCCCGCTTACCATCAACCCGCCCCATTCTCCCGCTTTGCATCCCCCCGCCCCATTCTCCCTCCTTCCATCACCCCGCCCCATTCTCCCGCTTTCCATTACCCCGCCCCATTCTCCCGCTTTCCATCACCCCGCTCCATTTTCTTGCTTTCCATCACCCCGCCCCATTCTCCCACTTTCAATCACCCCGTCCCATTCTCACGCTTTCCATCACCCCGCCCCATTCTCCCGCTTTCCATCACCCCGCTCCATTCTCTTGCTTTCCATCACCTCGCCCCATCCTCTCGCTTTCCATCACCGCGCCCCATTCTCTCTCCTTCCATCACCCCGCCCCATTCTCCCGCTTTCGATCACCCCGCCCCATTCTCCCGCTTTCCATCACCCTGCCCCATTCTCCCGCTTTCCATCACCCCGCACCATTCTCCCGCTTTCTATCACCCCGCCCCATTCTCCCTCCTTCCATCACCCCGCCCCATTCTCCTTTTTTCCATCACCCCGCCCCATTTTCCCGCTTTCCATCACCCCGCCCCATTCTCCCGCTTTCGATCACCCCGCCCCATTCTCCCGCTTTCCATCACCCTCCCCCATTCTCCCGCTTTCCATCACCCCGCACCATTCTCCCGCTTTCTATCACCCCGCCCCATTCTCCCTCCTTCCATCACCCCGCCCCATTCTCCTTTTTTCCATCACCCCGCCCCATTTTCCCGCTTTCCATCACCCCGCCCCATTCTCCCGCTTTCCATCACCTCGTGTCATTCTCCCGCTTTCCATCGCCCCGCTCCATTCTCCCTCCTTCGATCACCCTGCCCCAATCTCCCTCCTTCCATCACCCCTTCCCATTCTCCCTCCTTCCATCAACCCACCCGAATCTCCCGCATTCCATCATCCCGCCATGTTCTCCCGCTTTCCATCACCCCGCCCCATTCTCCCGCTTTCCATCACCTCGCCCCATTCTCCAACTTTCCATCACCCCGCCCCATTCTCCCGCCTTCCATCGCCCGGCCCCATTCTCCCTCCTTCCATCACCCCGCCCTATTCTCCCGCTTTCCATCACCCCGCCCATTCTCTCGCTTTCCATCACCCCGCCCCATTCTCCCGCTTTCTATCACCCCGCCCCATTCTCCCTCCTTCCATCACCCCGCCCCATTCTCCCGCCTTCCAACACCCCGCCCCATTCTCCCTCCTTCCATCACCCCGCCCCATTCTCCCGCTTTCTATCACCCCGCCCTATTCTCCCGCTTTCCATCACCGTGCCCCATTCTTCCGCTTTCCATCACCGCGCCCCATTCTCCCGCTTTCCATCAACCCGCCCCATTCTCCCTCTTTCCATCGCCCCGCCCCATTCTCCTTTTTTCCATCACCCCGCCCCGTTTTCCCGCTTTCCATCACCCCGCCCCACTCTCCCGCTTTCCATCACCTCGTGTCATTCTCCCGCTTTCCATCGCCCCGCTCCATTCTCCCTCCTTCGATCACCCTGCCCCAATCTCCCTCCTTCCATCACCCCTTCCCATTCTCCCTCTTTCCATCAACCCAACCGATTCTCCCGCTTTCCATCACCCGCCCAGTTCTCCCGCTTTCCATCATCCCGCCATGCTCTCCCGCTTTCCATCACCCCGCCCCATTCTCCCGCTTTCCATCACCTCGCCCCATTCTCCAACTTTCCATCACCCCGCCCCATTCTCCCGCCTTCCATCGCCCCGCACCATTCTCCCTCCTTCCATCACCCCGCCCCATTCTCCCGCTTTCCATCACCCCGCCCATTCTCTCACTTTCCATCACCCCGCCCCATTTTCCCGCTTTCCATCACCAAGCCCCATTCTCCCTCCTTCCATCACCCTGCCCCATTCTCCCGACTTCCAACACCCCCCCCATTCTCCCTCCTTCCATCACCCCGTTCCATTCTCCCGCTTTCCATCACCCTGCCCCTTTCTCCCGCTTTCCATCACCGTGCCCCATTCTTCCGCTTTCCATCACCGCGCCCCATTTTCCCGCTTTCCATCAACCTGCCCCATTCTCCCTCTTTCCATCGCCCCGCCCCATTCTCTCTCCTTCCATCACCCCGCCCCATTCTCCCTCCTTCCATCACCCCGCCCCATTCTCCCGCTTTCCATCACCCTGCCCGATTCTCCCGCTTTCCATCACCCCGCCCCATTCTCCCGCTTTACATCACCCCGCCCTATTCTCCCGCTTTACATCACCAAGCCCTATTCTCCCACTTTCCATCATCCCGCCATGTTCTCCCGCTTTCCATCACCCCGCCCCATTCTCCCGCTTTCCATCACCTCGCCCCATTCTCCAACTTTCCATCACTCCGCCCCATTCTCCCGCTTTCCATCACCCCGCGCCATTCTCCCGCCTTCCATCACCCCGCCCCATTCTCTCGCTTTCCATCTCCCCGCCCCATTCTCCCGCTTTCCATCACCCCGCCCCATTCTCCCTCCTTCCATCACCCCGCCCCATTCTCCCGCTTTCCATCACCCCACCCCAATCTCCCGCTTTCCATCACCCCGCCCCATTCTCCCGCTTTCCATCACCCCGCCCCATTCTCCCTCTTTCCATCACCCCGCCCCATTCTCCCGCTTTCCATCACCCCGCCCCATTTTCCCGCTTTCCATCACCACGCCTTATTCTCCCGCTTTCCATCACTCCGCCCCATTCTCCTGCTTTCCATCATCCCGCCCCATTCTCCCGCCTTCCATCACCCCGCCCCATTCTCCCGCTTTCCATCTCCCCGCCCCATTCTCCCGCTTTCCATCACCCCGCCCCATTCTCCCGCTTTCCATCACCCCGCTCCATTCTCCCTCCTTCGATCAACCTGCCCCTTTCTCCCTCCTTCCATCACCCCGCCCCATTCTCCCTCCTTCCATCACCCCGCCCCATTCTCCCGCCTTCCAACACCCCGCCCCATTCTCCCTCCTTCCATCACCCTGCCCTATTCTCCCGCTTTCTATCACCCCGCCCTATTCTCCCGCTTTCCATCACCCCGCCCCTTTCTCCCGCTTTCCATCACCGTGCCCCATTCTTCCGCTTCCCATCACCGCGCCCCATTCTCCGGCTTTCCATCACCCCGCCCGATTCTCCCGTGTTCCATCACCCCGCCCCATTCTCCCGCATTCCATCACCCCGCCCCATTCTCCCGCTTTACATCACCCCGCCCCATTCTCCCGCTTTCCATCACCCTGCCCCATTCTCCCGCTTTCCATCACCGCGCCCCATTCTCCCGTTTTCCATCACTCCGCCCCATTCTTCTGCTTTCCATCACCCCGCCCCATTCTCCCTCCTTCCATCACCCCGCCCCATTCTCCCTCCTTCCATCACCCCGCCCCATTCTCCCTCCTTCCATCACCCCGCCCCATTCTCCCGCTTTACATCACCCCACCCCATTCTCCCGCTTTCCATCACCCTGCCCCATTCTCCCGCTTTCCATCACCGTGCCCCATTCTCCCGCTTTCTATCACCCCGCCCCACTCTCCAGCTTTCCATCACCGCGCCCCATTCTCCTGCTTACCATCAACCCGCCCCATTCTCCCGCTTTGCATCCCCCCGCCCCATTCTCCCTCCTTCCATCACCCCGCTCCATTCTCCCGCTTTCCATTACCCCGCCCCATTCTCCCGCTTTCCATCACCCCGCCCCATTCTCTTGCTTTCCAACACCCCGCCCCATTCTCCCACTTTCCATCACCCCGCCCCATTCTCCCACTTTCCATCACCCCGTCCCATTCTCCCGCTTTCCATCACCCTGCTCCATTCTCTTGCTTTCCATCACCCCGCCCCATCCTCTCGCTTTCCATCACTGCGCCCAATTCTCCCTCCTTCCATCACCCCACCCCATTCTCCCGCTTTCGATCACCCCGCCCCATTCTCCCGCTTTCCATCACCCTGCCTTATTCTCCCGCTTTCCATCACCCCGCCATGTTCTCCCGCCTTCCATCACCCCGCCCCATTCTCCCGCTTTCCATCACCTCGCCCCATTCACCCGCTTTCTATCACCCCACCCCATTCTCCCTCCTTCCATCACCCCGCCCCATTCTCCTTTTTTCCATCACCCCGCCCCATTTTCCCGCTTTCCATCACCCCGCCCCATTCTCCCGCTTTCCATCACCTCGTGTCATTCTCCCGCTTTCCATCGCCCCGCTCCATTCTCCCTCCTTCGATCACCCTGCCCTAATCTCCCTCCTTCCATCACCCCTTCCCATTCTCCCTCCTTCCATCAACCCACCCGATTCTCCCGCTTTCCATCACCCGCCCAGTTCTCCCGCTTTCCATCATCCCGCCATGTTCTCCTGCTTTCCATCACCCCGCCCCATTCTCCCGCTTTCCATCACCCCGCCCCATTCTCCCTCCTTCCATCATCCCGCCCCATTCTCCCGCCTTCCAACTCCCCGCCCCATTCTCCCTCCTTCCATCACCCCGCCCCAATCTCCCGCTTTCTATCACCCCGCCCTATTCTCCCGCTTTCCATCACCCCGCCCCTTTCTCCCGCTTTCCATCACCGTGCCCCATTCTTCCTCTTTCCATCACCGCGCCCCATTCTCCCGCTTTCCATCAACCCGCCCCATTCTCCCTCTTTCCATCGCCCCGCCCCATTCTCCCTCCTTCCATCACCCCGCCCCATTCTCCCTCCTTCCATCACCCCGCCCCATTCTCCCGCTTTCCATCACCCCACCCCAATCTCCCGCTTTCCATCACCCCGCCCCATTCTCCCGCTTTCCATCACCCCGCCCCATTCTCCCGCTTTCGATCACCCCGCCCTATTCTCCCGCTTTCAATCACCCCGCCCCATTCACCCGCTTTTCATCACCCCGCGCCATTCTCCCGCCTTCCATCACCCCGCCCCATTCTCCCGCTTTCCATCACCCCGCCCCATTCTCCCGCCTTCCATCGCCCCGCCCCATTCTCCCTCCTTCCATCACCCCGCCCTATTCTCCCGCTTTCCATCACCCCGCCCATTCTCTCGCTTTCCATCACCCCGCCCCATTCTCCCACTTTCCATCACCCCGCCCCATTCTCCCTTTTTCCATCACCCCGCCCCATTCTCCCGCCTTCCAACACCCCGCCCCATTCTCCCTCCTTCCATCACCCCGCCCCATTCTCCCGCTTTCTATCACCCCGCCCTATTCTCCCGCTTTCCATCACCCCGCCCCTTTCTCCCGCTTTCCATCACCGTGCCGCATTCTTCCGCTTTCCAAGACCGCGCCCCATTCTCCCGCTTTCCATCAACCCGCCCCATTCTCCCTCTTTCCATCGCCCCGCCCCATTCTCCCTCCTTCCATCACCCCGCCCCATACTCCCTCCTTCCATCACCCCGCCTCATTCTCCCGCTTTCCATCACCCCACCCCAATCTCCCGCTTTCCATCACCCCGCCCCATTCTCCCGCTTTCCATCACCCCGCCCCATTCTCCCGCTTTCCATCACCCCGCCCCATTTTCTCGCTTTCCATCACCCTGCCCCATTCTCCCGCTTTCCATCTCCCCGCCCCATTCTCCCGCTTTCCATCACCCCGCCCCATTCTCCCTCCTTCCATCACCCCGCCCCATTCTCCCGCTTTCCATCACCCCGCCCGATTCTCCCGCTTTCCATCACCCCGCCCCATTCTCCCGCCTTCCATCACCCCGCCCAATTCTCCCGCTTTCCATCTCCCCGCCACATTCTCCCGCTTTCCATCACCCCACCCCATTCTCCCGCTTACAATCTCCCCGCCCCATTCTCCCGCTTTCCATCACCCCGCCCCATTCTCCCGCTTTCCATCACCCCGCCCCATTCTCCCTCCTTCCATCACCCCACCCCATTCTCCCGCCTTCCATCACCCCGCCCCATTCTCCCTCCTTCCATCACCTCGCCCCATTCTCCCGCTTTCCATCACCCCGCCCCATTCTCCCGCTTTCCATCACCCTGCCCCATTCTCCCGCTTTCCATCACCCTGCCCCATTCTCCCGCTTTCCATCACCCCGCCCCACTCTCCCTCCTTCCATCACCCCGCCCCATTCTCCCGCCTTCCATCACCCCGCCCCATTCTCCCTCCTTCCATCACCTCACCCCATTCTCCCGCTTTCCATCACCCCGCCCCATTCTCCCGCTTTCCATCACCCCGCCCCATTCTCCCGCTTTCCATCACCGCGACCCATTCTCCCGCTTTCCATCACCGCGCCCCATTCTCCCGCTTACCATCAACCCGCCCAATTCTCCCGCTTTTCATCGCCCTGCCCCATTCTCCCTCCTTCCATCACCCCGCCCCATTGTCCCTCCTTTCATCACCCCGCCACATTCTCCCGCTTTCCATCACCACGCCCCATTCTCCCGTTTTCCATCAACCCGCCCCATTCTCTGCTTTCCATCGCCCCGCCCCATTCTCCCTCCTTCCATCACCCCTCACCATTCTCCCTCCTTCCATCACCCCGCCCCATTCTCCCGCTTTCCAACACCCCACCCCAATCTCCCGCTTTCCATCTCCCCGCCCCATTCTCCCCCTTTCCATTCACCCCGCCCCATTCTCCCTCCTTCCATCACCCCGCCCCGTTCTTCTGTGTTCCATCACCCCGTCCCATCCTCCCGCTTTCCATCACCCCGCCCCATTCTCCCGCTTCCCATCACCCCGCCCCATTCTCCCGCTTTCCATCACCCCGCCCCATTCTACCGATTTCCATCACCCCGCCCCATTCCCCCGCTTTCCATCACCCTGCCCCATTCTCCCGCTTTCCATCACCCCACCCCATTCCCCCGCTTTCAATCTCCCCGCCCCATTCTCCCGCTTTCCATCAACCCGCCCCATTTTCGCTTTCTATCACCCCACCCCAATCTCCCGCTTTCAATCACCCCGCCCCATTCTCTTGCTTTCCATCACCCCGTCCCATTCCCCCTGTCAATCTCCCCGCCCCACTCTCCCGCTTTCCATCACCCCGCCCCGTTCTCTCGCTTTCCATCACCCCGCCACATTCTCCCGTTTACCATCACTCCGCTCCAATCTCCCGCTTTCCATCACCCCGCCCCATTCTCCCTCCTTCCATCGCCCCGCCCCATTCTCCCTCCTTCCATCGCCCCGCCCCATTCTCCCGCTTTCCATCACCCCGCCCCATTCTCCCACTTTCCATCATCCCGCCCCATTCTCCTGCATTCCATCACCCCGCCCCATTCTCCCGCTTTCCATCACCCCACCTTATTCTCCCTCCTTCCATCACCCCGCCCCATTCTCCCTCCTTCCATCACCCTGCCCCATCCTCCCGCTTTCCATCACCCCGCCCCATTCTCCCGCTTTCCATCACCCCGCCCCATTCTCCCGCTTTCCATCACCCCGCCCCATTCTACCGATTTCCATCACCCCGCCCCATTCCCCCGCTTTCCATCACCCTGCCCCGTTCTCTCGCTTTCCATCACCCCGCCACATTCTCCCGTTTACCATCACTCCGCCCCAATCTCCCGCTTTCCATCACCCCGCCCCATTCTCCCTCCTTCCATCGCCCCGCCCCATTCTCCCTCCTTCCATCGCCCCGCCCCATTCTCCCGCTTTCCATCACCCCGCCCCATTCTCCCACTTTCCATCATCCCGCCCCATTCTCCTGCATTCCATCACCCCGCCCCATTCTCCCGCTTTCCATCACCCCACCTTATTCTCCCTCCTTCCATCACCCCGCCCCATTCTCCCTCCTTCCATCACCCTGCCCCATTCTCCCGCTTTCCATCACCCCGCCCGATTCACCCGCTTTCCATCACCCCGCCCCAATCTCCCGCTTGCCATCACCCCGCCCCATTCTCCCCCCTTCCATCACCCCGCCCCATTCTCCCTCCTTCCATCACCCCGCCCCATTCTCCCTCCTTCCGTCTCCCTGCCCCATTCTCCCGCATTCCATCACCCCGCCCCATTCTCCCGCTTTCCATCACCCCGTCCAATTCTCCCGCTTTCCATCTCCCCGCCCCATTCTCCCGCTTTCCATCACCCCACCCCATTCTCCCGCTTTCAATCTCCCCGCCCCATTCTCCCGCTTTCCATCACCCCGCCCCATTTTTGCTTTCCATCACCCCACCCCGATCTCCCGCTTTCAATCACCCCGCCCCATTCTCCCGCATTCCATCACCCCGCCCCATTCTCCCGCTTTCCATCACCCCGCCCAATTCTCCCGCTTTCCATCTCCCCGCCCCATTCTCCCGCTTTCCATCACCCCACCCCATTCTCCCGCTTTCAATCTCCCCGCCCCATTCTCCCGCTTTCCATCACCCCGCCCCATTTTTGCTTTCCATCACCCCACCCCAATCTCCCGCTTTCAATCACCCCGCCCCATTCTCCCGCTTTCCATCACCCCGCCCCATTCTCCCGCTTTCCATCACCCTGCCCCATTCCCCCTGTCAATCTCCCCGCCCCGTTCTCCCGCTTACCATCATCCCGCCCCTTCCTCCCTCCTTCCATCACCTCGCCCCATTCTTCCGCTTTCCATCACCCCTCCCCATTCTCCCGCTTTCAATCTCCCCGCCCCATTCTCCCCATTCTCCAACTTTCCATCACCCCGCCACATTCTCCCCATTCTCCCTCTTTCCATCACCCCGCCCCATTCTCCCGCTTTCTATCACCCCGCCTCATTCTCCCCCTTTCCATTCACCCCGCCCCATTCTCCCTCCTTCCATCACCCCGCCCCATTCTCCCGCTTTCCATCACCCCGCCCCATCCTCCCGCTTTCCATCACCCCGCCCCATTCTCCCGCTTTCCATCACCTCGCCCCATTCTCCCGCTTTCCATCACCCCGCCCCATTCTCCCGCTTTCCATCACCCCGCCCCATTCGACCGATTTCCATCACTCCGCCCCATTCTCCCGCTTTCCATCACCCCGCCCCATTCTCCCACTTTCCATCACCCCGCCCCGTTCTCCCGCTTTCCATCACCCCGCCCCAATCTCCCGCTTTCCATCACCCCGCCCCATTCTCCCTCTTTCCATCACCCCGCCCTTTTCTCCCGCTTTCCATCACCCTGCCCCATTCTCCCGCTTTCCATCACCCTGCCCCATTCTCCCGCTTTTCATCACCCCGCCCCATTCTACCGATATCCATCACCCCGCCCCATTCTCCCGCTTTCCATCACCCCGGCTCGTTCTCCCGCTTTCCATCACCCCGCCCCATTCTCCCGCTTTCCATCACCCCGCCCAATCTCCCGCTTTCCATCACACCGGGTAACCTGCTTGACGAGTTCTGCGGAGGCACGCGAACGTCGTCGAGGTCGCGATGGCGCAGGCGACTGCGGGCTGGTATCCCGTAGTCGATGTGGCTCGTCAGGCGCAGACAATAGCCGACGAATGCCCAACAAGGCAAGTCGGGCCAATCGTCTGCGCACACCTGCGAGCGTGCACACTGCTGTGTTCTACGGAGCAACGCTGGACAGCCGCTCTGCTGCAGCGTTGGCACGCAGTCGACCTGCTCCATTGGCAGGTCACCTTTCTGCAGTACTGGTGCGGCTCCTCTACGCAACTCTGGGAGGCGATCGGCTGAGCTGTGCTGGCGGTCGACCAGGCTAGCAGCAGGGTTGCTAGGTGTCTGATGTAGTCATTTTTGTCATTGCTTGTTGAATTATTCTAAAATTCCAACTTTGTTAGTGAAACTCTTGCTGATTTCTCCCGTGAATGTGCAAGCACTAAGGAACCAAGCAAAGCTACGATCACCTCTAGTAGTTCGTGCCAACCCCCGTAGTCTAGCTCACTACCTGCTAACTGACCTTGGAGAGCTGCCTCGTTCTCCTCCAGTCCTGTACGTAGACAACGAGGCCATGCTGGCCTTGTGTCGGGAGCACAGACTAGAGCACAGAACGAAGCACATTGCTCTTCGCTACTTCCTTTCTCGTGAGCTGCAGCAGCGTGGTCAGCTCCGACTTGCTTATGTAGCCTCTCAGGCCGACACTGCTGTGTCAGAATCCCAACCACTAGACCATTGGGATAAAAGGGCTTGTTTCAGTAGCGGGTCAGTGCGCCCATAACCCCCCAGGCGAACGCGCCTGTAACCCTCTCCAGGATCAATCGGGCATCCACAGTGCAGATCTACTGACACCCTCCCACAATGGGAGGCCCAGGACTAAGCACAGTGGCAACGGCCTACATGTGCATACACCAGGAATCGAACCCGAGACCGCTCTGATACTAGTTAGAATCCCAACCACTAGACCATTGGGATAAAAGGGCTTGTTTCAGTAGCGGGTCAGTGCGCCTATAACCCCCCAGGCAAACGCGCCTGTAACCCTCTCCAGGATCAATCGGGCATCCACAGTGCAGATCTACTGACATGCTGATGTCTTCACCAAGGCACTCGCGCCTTGTGATCATCAGCGCCTTGTGCCTACTTTGCCTCACTTGCTCACTTCTTGACCTTGCTTGTACTGTGGCCTATATATATACATGCACTTGCATGTTTAGCTTTATATTTATATAATCCTGCATGTGAACTAGCCTTGTGGCCTTTGAACTTGTGCTTGGAATGTGTGGTGACGTTGGGATCCACCCTGAGCTTGCTGTGCTTTGCTTGACTGGTCTTGTGACCCCTTGCTCTCCCCCACTTTGCCTATGGGGGTGTGTCAAAGTATATGTGATGTATGTCAGAACATTACAGCCTACTTATTTGTGTAGGCTATAGTGGGGTATCCCATAGGGGGTACAACCCAATTAGGGTTTCCTATTTGTACTCACTTCATTCATAGTCATTCCATTCTCGTTCAATTCTTCTCATGGAATCAGAGCAGGTCCCCTCCTAGGGACTGTTCATAGGGCCCACCGAAGCGCGCCCCGAGGCGCGCGTTCTTTTTTTTAGCGACCCTTCGTGTCGCCCTTACCTACGCGATCCCGCCGCACTTTGGTCGCGGCCCCGCTTTGCCCCGTCGGCCCCGCTTAGGCCCCGCTACGGCCCCGCGTCGGCTTCGCTAAGGCCCCGTCGGCCCCGCTTAGGCCCCGCCGGCCCCGCTTAGGCCCCGCTACGGCCCCGCTACGGCCCCGCTTAGGCCTCGTCGGCCCCGCCTAGGCCCCGCTATGGCCCTGCTTAGGCCTCGTCGGCCCCGCTTAGGCCCTGTCGGCCCCGCTTAGGCCCTGTCGGCCCCGCTTAGGCCCCGCTTAGGCCCCGCTACGGCCCTGCTTAGGCCTCATCGGCCCCGCCTAGGCCCCGCTACGGCCCCGCTTAGGCCTCGTCGGCCCCGCCTAGGCCCCCACTACTGCCCCGCTACGGCCTCTCCGACCCCGCTACGGCCCCGCTACAGCCCCGCGTCGGCCCCCCCCCTACGGCCCCGCTTCGGCCCCGCTTAGGCCCCGCTGCAGCCCCTCGTCGGCCCCGCTACGGCCCCGCTTCGGCCCCGCTTAGGCCCCGCTGCAGCCCCGCTACGGCCCCCATTGCGGCCCCGCCGCCTCTCTTACTGCGGCCCCACCGCCCGTGCTGCAGCCCGACGCGCCACCCGTGCAGCCGCCCGTGCGCCGCCCGTGCAACCGCCCGTGCAACCGCCCGTGCAACCACCCGTGCAGCCGCCCGTGCAGCCGCTCGTGCAGTCGCCCACCGTGCCGCCCGTGAGCCGCCCCAGCCGCCCGTGCAGCCGCCCGTGAGCCGCCCGTGCAGCCGCCCGCGCCGCCCGTGAGCCCCCGCGTCACCCGAGCCGCACGAGCCGCCCGAGCCGCCCGAGCCGCCCGAGCCGCCCTAGCCGCCCGAGCCGCCCGAGCCGCCCGAGCCGCCCGAGCCGTCTACGGTGCTGAGAGCCAGATCCTGTGGGGCTGCTGCTACTCCTGGGCCGGCGGAGTTGCTGAGCTGCGGTATTGCTGTCCTACTGAGCTGCTCGACCCTTCTTCTCTGGTGAGACTGTCCACTGCTATCATGGCCACCCCTAGTATCCTGGCCTTTGACGCTGAGGGTCGCGCCATTGACTTAGCGGTCTGGGTCGAGGACCTGCAGCTGTACTTGCAGTGCGATTCCGTAGATGACATCTCTCTCTTTGACTTTGCCTCTGGCGCTGTCCCTGCCCCTCCTGCTGATGCTGACCCCACTGTTCGCTCCAAGTGGGCCACACGCGATGCTGCTGCACGTCTTGCTGTGCGTCGCCACCTCCCTTCCTCCGAGCGTGCCCACTTTAGTCAGTGCAAGACCGCTCAGGCCTTGTACAACGCTGTAGTTGCGCGCTACTCCTCCCCTTCCACTGCTACACTGAGCCGCCTCATGCTACCGTACCTCTTCCCTGACCTTGCTGCCTTTCCCACAGTCGCTGACCTCTTTACCCACCTTCGCGCTAGTGACACTCGCTACCGAGCTGCGCTTCCTGCTGCCTTCCTCGCCGAAAACCCCCCTCCCATGTACATCACCCTCTACTTTCTAGTCACCCGTCTCCCTGAGTCCCTTCGTGCTGTTAGGGACCAGTTTCTCTCTGTCTGTCCCACCACCCTCACTGTCGACCTCCTCGAGAAGTCCCTGCTAGCGGCCGAGAAGAGCATAGTCGCTGTAGGGGCCTCTCGTGGTGACCCGCGCACCCCCATCTTTGAGGGGTGTTCTCCTTCCCCCCTGTTACCCTCTGTCGCCTCTGCTGCTGCGGCCGACCTCGTTGGTTTAGAGTCGGTCGGTGCGGCGTCTGCCCCCAGCGGTAGGCGCCGCTCTGGCAAGAGCAAGGGGGGCAAGGGAGCGGGTGGAGCTAGCGGGGGCGGTGGCGGAGGAGGTGGGGGCGGCGGGGGGAGTGGGGGTGGCGGTGGGGGTGGAGGCGGGAGTGGAGGTACTGGTGGCGGCAGTGGAGGCGGAGGTGGCGGCGGAGGTGGGGGCAGAGGTGGCAGTGGGAGCGGCGAGGGCGAGGGTGGCGGTGGCGGCGGTGGTGGCGGAGGCGGAGGTAGCGGTGGTAGAGGTGGTCGGAGTGGCTCATCCCAGCGGAGCAGCACTGGGGGTGGTCAGCGCCAGCAGCAGCAGCACCAGCAGCGCTCTCGCGACGTCCCCGCCCCTCAGCAGCTCTGTGAGTGGTACTCGCAGCGTCAGCGTGGTGGGGCGTTCGGTCCCTGCACCTACGTCCTTCGCACCGGCGACTGCGCGGGTGAGCAGTGTCGGGGCACCCACACCTACGTCCCTGCACCTACGTCCTTCGCCCGCTTGACCGACGCTTGGCGCCAGCAGTTTCCGGAGGCCTCTGAGATCCCCCGCTGGGGAGAGCTGTCTAGGGCTGGTGTAGCTATCTTTGATCTTGACTTTGATGCTATCCTTGCTGCCATGTATGCTGTGGCTGTTAGTGATGAAGGTGACTGTTACCCGTGTTTCCCGCCCGACCCGGGCATTGGTACTGCTGCGTCAGGTGCTAGTGAGGCTGCTGCTCTAGGTGCCAGTGCGTCTGTGCTCTCAGGTACTAGTGAGTCTGCCCTCTCAGGTATTGTGTCGGCTTCGGCCTCTCACACCTTCACCCTTGACTCTGGAGCGTCTCGCTCCTTCTTTCGGGACCGCACCACTCTCACGCCGCTTAGTCGGCCAGTTGCGGTGTCCCTGGCTGACCCCTCAGGGGGTCCTGTCCTGTCTCGTTTCTCCACAGTCCTCCCGTGTCCGGCGGCTCCCTCTGGCACCCTGACTGGTCTCTACCTCCCCTCGTTCTCTACGAACCTGGTGAGTGGTGCTGACCTACAGGATGTGGGTGTCCACCAGTTTACTCCTGCTTGTCAGCGAGTGACACACTGCACAGAGGCTAGCACAGGTCGCCACCTGGCTACGTTTACACGTCAGCCAGGGTCGAGCCTGTACACACTGACCACTGCTTCTCCTCCCGGTGCTGAGTCTGGTAGAGTCCCCTCGTCTGGTCAGGTGTTTGCTGCAGCGTCCAGGTCTGGTCCTGAGTCTGCCCCCTGTTCGTGTCGCCGTCTGTCTCACGAGACTCTCCTCTGGCACCACCGCCTTGGCCACCCCTCTCTGCTTCGGCTCAGAGGCATGGCCTCCCGTCTTCTTGTGTCTGGTCTCCCCTGGTCCCTCCCTCCCCTTCCTCAGGGACCTGGCCCTGCCTGTGTCCCCTGTGTCGAGGGGCGCCAGCGTGCTGCCCCTCACTCCTCCCAGTTTCCTCTGACAGAGGCTCCGTTGCAGACGCTTCACATGGACGTGTGGGGCCCTGCCCGCGTCCGTGGACTCGGTCACGAGCGCTACTTCCTGTTGGTGGTTGACGACTACTCGCGTTACACCACAGTCTTCCCCTTGCGCAGCAAGGGTGATGTCACTGAGGTGGTGATCGACTGGATCTGCGCAGCTCGTCTCCAGCTCAGGCAGAGCTTTGGCTCGGACTTTCCTGTGTTGCGTCTGCACTCGGACAGAGGCGGAGAGTTCTCCTCTGGCCTTCTGCGTGCCTTCTGTCGTGCGCGAGGCATCCGCCAGACCTTCACGCTTCCGGACTCACCGCAGCAAAATGGGATTGCAGAGCGCCGCATTGGCATGGTCATGGACGGCGCTCTTACGTCTATGATGCATGCGGCTGCCCCCCATTTTCTGTGGTTGTTTGCGGTCAGGTACGCGGCGCATCAGATCAACCTCCACCCCAGGGTCTCCAGGCCGGAGACCTCCCCAGCCCTGCTGTGGACGGGGAAGGTTGGCGATGCGTCGGCGTTCCGGGTCTGGGGATCTCGGGCGTTTGTCCGCGACTTGTCTTCGGACAAGCAGTCCCCTCACGCTGCTCCCTGCGTCTTCCTGGGGTTCCCCCCCGACGCCCCTGGGTGGCAGCTCTACCACCCCACCTCTTGACGTGTTCTGTCCTCCCAGGACGTCACGTTCGACGAGTCGGTACCCTACTACCGCCTCTTCCCCTACCGCACTCCGTCCCTCCCCCCGCCCCCGCTCTTCTTGGTACCAGGTCCCCCTCCGGTAGACCCCCTCCCCCCTCAGGGTCTTGCCCCTTCAAGTGTGTCCCAGGTAGACGCGGTCGAGCCTCTCGAGGTCACTGGTGACTCTGGTGCTGGTGGGGGTGCTGAGCCTGGGGGTGCTGAGCCTGGGGGTGCTGAGCCTGGGGGTGCTGAGCCTGGGGGTGCGGAGTCTGGAGGTGCTGAGCCTTGGGGTGCTGAGCCTGCGGGTACTAAGTCTGGGGGTGCTGAGCCTGGGGGTGCTGAGACTGGGGGTGCTGAGCCTGGGGGTGCTCCACCTGGAGGTGCTTTGCCTGAGAGTGCTGAGCCTAGAGGTTCTCCGCCTGGAGGTGCTTCGTCTCGCCGAGAGCCACTCTCCCCACAGGAGCTGCGTGAGTGGTTTGCCCAGCGCAGGAGGCGTGCTGCTGGTGCTGGAGGTTCTTCGGCTGCAGAGGGTGCTGCTGCCGCGCGTCCCGGAGGTGCTCGTGCTGTGGGTACTGGAGCTGCTGGGCCTGCGGGTTCTCCTGGAGCTGGTGCTGCTCAGGGTGTTGGCGCTGAGACTACCGCTGGCGGTCCGACAGGCAGTGCTCCTCGTGCTGCTGGAGGTTCTGGTGCTGCTGGAGGTGCTGCTAGAGCGGGTACTCCTGCTGAGGGTACTGGTGCTGTCCTTGCTGTTTCAGGCGTCGCCACGCGGCCCCGACCGTACTTCGTTCCGCTCCTGCAGTAGGTTCTTGGTCTTACACCTTCTCCTGGTCCTCCCTTAGAGGGTCCACAGCAAGTCCCGTCACAGTCACAGCTACAGCCTGCCTCCCCTTTGCCTGCTCCTTCTCCCTACGCTGGTCCGACTGGAGGTCTTACTGAGCGTCGTGAGCCTGCGTCTCGTCCTGCGTCGCCTGTTCGTACTGCACGCACTAGAGGTCGCGGTTCGCGTCAGCGTCCTCCTCCTGTCCCTGGCACGCACCGGATGTCTCTGCGTCCGTCCACTGCTCCTCTGCGTGCCCCATTGCCTTCTCCTCCTGCTTCCTTTCTTCCTGCTCTTGCCGACCCGGCGTCGGACTCTCTTCGTGCTGCCAGTCCTACTGTCACGCGTCTCCTTGCTACTGCTGTCACCGACCCTTCTTTCGAGTCTTCTGCTGCGTCTGCCCTTGTCACTGAGCTCGTCGACTTTGCTGCGCGCTGTCGTCTAGACTACGCTGCTAGTCTTGTCGCTGAGTCTGAGTCTGCCTGTCCTCCGTCCGTCGGGCGTGAGTGTGCCCTTGGCACGGACGTCCTTGAGGACAGGCAGGAGGAGTTCCAGTGTCTGGCCGCCGCTTCACCTCATCTCGCGTCTGTACTGCTAGCCCCTGAGGGAGACCCGGATGCACTTGACATCCCGACTCTGCGCTCTTACGCGGAGGCGATAGAGGGTCCCTACTCCTCTCAGTGGCAGGCAGCTATGGATGCAGAGATGGCTTCCTGGAAGTCCACAGGCACCTACGTTGACGCTGTTCCCCCTCCTGGGGCGAACATAGTCAGTGGCATGTGGATCTTCAGGGTGAAGCGGCCGCCGGGTTCTCCGCCTGTCTTCAAGGCGCGTTACGTGGCTCGTGGCTTCAGATAGCGGCAAGGAGTTGACTACTTTCAGACCTTCTCCCCCACCCCGAAGATGACCACTCTTCGGGTACTGCTGCACGTTGCTGCTCACCGTGACTACGAGCTGCTCTCTCTCGACTTCAGCATTGCTTTCTTGCAGGGCAGCCTGCACGAGGAGATCTGGCTGCGTCGCCCACCTGGCTTCACTGGGTCTTTCCCTCCTGGTACCCAGTGGAGTCTCCGGCGTCCAGTCTACGGTCTCCGCCAGGCGCCACGTGAGTGGCACGATACACTGAGGACTACGCTGGCGGCACTTGGGTTTGCTCCTTCTACTGCCGACCCGTCGCTGTTTCTGCGCACCGACACCTCTCTGCCGCCGTTCTACATCCTCGTGTACGTCGACGACTTGGTCTTTGCCACAGCTGACACTGCTGGACTCGCCTACGTGAAGTCCGAGCTGCAGAAGAGACACACGTGCACTTACCTGGGTGAACTGCGCAGCTACCTTGGCTTGCAGATCACCCGGGACAGAGCACGCCGCACCATTACCCTGACTCAGTCACACATGGTGCAGCAGGTCCTTCAGCGCTTCGGCTTCATGTACTCCTCGCCTCAGGCCACTCCTCTGCCTACTCGCCACTCGCTCTCAGCTCTGCCTTCGGATGAGTCCGTAGAGTCGAGTGGCCCGTATGCTGAGCTTGTTGGCTGCCTCATGTACCTGATGACCTGCACACGACCTGACCTTGCATACCCTCTTAGCATTCTCGCACGCTATGTTGCTCCTGGGAGACACCGACCAGAGCACATGGCTGCAGCGAAGAGGGTGTTGCGCTACTTGTGCAGTACGTCGGGCATGGGGCTAGTGCTTGGAGGGCGCAGTCCAGTGGTCCTCACTGGGCACGCGGACGTTTCTTGGGCTGACGACCAGGCTACGCAACGGTCGTCACAGGGTTACACCTTCAGCCTTGGTTCCGGCTCTGTCTCGTGGCGGGCTATCCGCTCGTCTTCTGTTCTGGGCTCCAGTTGTGAGGCTGAGATCTACGCCGGGGCTATGGCTGCACAAGAGTTACGCTGGATCACCTACCTGCTGACCGACCTTGGAGAGCCGCCTCGTTCTCCTCCAGTCCTGTACGTAGACAACAAGGCCATGCTGGCCTTGTGTCGAGAGCAGCGACTGGAGCACAGGACAAAGCACATTGCTCTTCGCTACTTTCTTGCTCATGAGCTACAGCAGCGTGGACAGTTGCGACTTGCGTACGTGGCCTCTGAGGCCAATACTGCTGATGTCTTCACCAAGGCACTTGCGCCTTGTGATCATCAGCGCTTCTGCACGCAGCTGGGTCTTGTGCCTGTCTTGCCTCACTTGCTCACTTCTTGACCTTGCTTGTACCTTCACCTATATATACTCTTGCTCTTGCTTGCTTTACTCTTGTATATCTCTATATCTGTTCTTGCATGTGAACTGGCCTTCTGGCCTCTGAACTTGTGCTCGGAATGTGTGGTGACTTTGTGATCCACCCTGAGCTTTGATTTGCTTTGCTTGACTGGTCTTGTGACCCTTTGTTCTCCCCCACTTTGCCTATGGGGGTGTGTCAGAACATTATAGCTTACTTATTTGTGTAGGCTATAGTGGGGTATCCCATAGGGGGTACAACCCAATTAGGGTTTCCTATTTGTACTCACTTCATTCATAGTCATTCCATTCTCGTTCAATTCTTCTCAATGTAGTCTTTGTAGGCTATAGTGGGGTAGATACTATGGGGTACAACACTTTTAGGTTTCATATTTGTACCCATCTGTTTCATAGTCATTTCATTCCTCGTTCTAATCTTCACAGTGCGATCCTTCCGCGTTTTGAGGCTAGAAGCGCTCGTTCCGAGCGTTTTTCTTCCGCCGGGTCACATGGCTGTGCTTGTCTGGGCCTATTGCCAAGCTAGCAAGGGAGTGGGAGGGTTGCGAGCAGCATTGGTCATCGGCTCGCGAATGAAGAGCGCCCACTGCACTTCCTGCACATGTGCGGATCCTTCCACGTTTTGAGGCTAGAGCGCTTGTTCCGAGAATTTTTCTTCCACCGGGACACATGGCTGCGCTTGTCTGGGCCTATTTCCAATCCAGCAAGGACGTGGGAGGGTTGCGAGCATCATTGGTCATCGGCGCTCGCGAATGAAGAGTGCCCGCTGCACTTCTTGCACATGTGCAGATCCTTTCGCATTTTGGGGTTGGAAGCGCTCATTCCGAGCGTTTTTCTTCCGCAGGATCACGTGGCTGCGCTTGTCTGGGCCTATTGCCAAGCGAGCAGGGGCGTGGGAGGGTTGCGAGCATCATTGGTCATCGGCGTCCGAGAATGAATAGCGCCTACTGCACTTCCTGTACTTCTTGCATGCTTCGCTTTCTGCTGTCAGATATGCACTGCGTCTTTCTTAATTTACTACCGTATTTGTAACATTACCCCCTGAAGCTAGCCCCATCATAGCCTAACACTATACAAACTTATTGTTTTTACACCAACCTCGGAGCCAGTTCCGTCACGCACCCCACAATTTGCTCGTTATCACTACCACGCTAGTTCTCTATCTAGCATTCGCTCTTTCCTTCGCTCAATGTACTGTTTTTGCTTGAATAGTGCAATCTTTGTTCACTCACTCATTTGCACCCATAACGACATTGAACAACCAAAGGTTTCTATATACGGTATAGGATCAAAATCTAAGAGAGTGTATGAAGCATCCTCGTCAAGATCGGGGTGTTGTCTCGTTTCCCCGCCCCTATGCACTGAGGCAACGAAAATATGTGGAGACTACAAAGGTCGAATCCCGTCTTCCAGAGTGCCTCGCCACTACTAATTAGGACAGCGGCAAACATCCAGAGCACGATCGCGCACGGTCGTCCATGTTCCCCCCACCGCCCGCATAAACATTCCGCGGCCTTATCAGGCTAACCTTAGCGCGGTGCTGGCTCGCATGGCGCGGCTGCCGAACCTGGTGCTGCCGTGGGTGCCGAGTCCGAACGAGCGAGGGTCGTCGAGCGACCTGCCCACTCCCGAGATTCGAGACGACGTGCTGCGAGCCAGGGTGAAGGAAGGTGCGCGTGGGAATGGGCGTGTAAGAAATGCGTATCCGATCCGCGCCAACACTGGATTGCGAATCACATCGTTGCGTCCCACCAACCTGCTTCGTCCTGCCGCTAAGATCGCCCCGGATCGCTCTTTGTTGACTCATTGCTGCCCTCGCGGCCGCCTCCACGCGCGTGGAAGCGGCGCGTGGCCGCTGCCTTGTCGCCACGGCCCACCTCCTCTCCGTCATCCCACCTCTCACTTCTCCCGCTCCCCCTCTCTACCTTCTTATCCACCGCTGTGCTCCCTCTCCCTGCCTTCCCCCACCCCCGCTGCGTTCCCCCTCTCTGCCTCTCCGCACCGCTCTGCGCCTCCCTGCATGCCTTGCCCCTCGCGGCGTGCGCGAGCAGCGCAGCAGACGGCGGTGAGTGCGCGCGTGGGGTGGGCGGTGCTGCACGTGGTGGTGCCGGCGGCGCTGCTGCTGCTCAACACGTCGCTCGCGCAGGCCCTTGTGCAGCAGCCCGTGGGGTGCGTGCGTGCGTGGTAAACATCAGGTGTGAAATGTGGTGTGTCGTATCCACAGCATCTGGTGCGTGGTCAACACAGCGTTATAGGATAACGACTGCAGCTGGTAGGTAACCACTGCAGCTGGTAGGTAACCACTGCAGCTGGTAGGTAACCACTGCAGCTGGCATGTGGTGGCTTTCATGTGCGGTATGTGGTAACCAGAGAGTGGCCGCTTACCATGCAGGCGTGCCACTGCCTGGAATGCAACGCGCATCATCTCATCATCCTCACCCCATTCACCTTCCCTCTTCCCACACCCTCCCGCCATCCCCCGTCTTGCCCCGCACTGCGCAGGGCGGAAGCGGTGTGCTACGGGGTGCTCTTCCTCGCCACGCTGCTGCAGTACCTCTACACCTCGGGCTCCTCGCCTGGGTGCGTGCTCCTTGCTTCGCTCTGCTCTGCTGCTCTGCTCTGCTCGTCTCTGCTATGCTATGCCCTGCTCTGATCTGCTCTGCTCCGCTCTGCTCTATGCATGAGCCAAGCTCCGTGCATGACCCCATTGCATGTGCGTTCTCTTCTGTTCCTCCGTTTTTCTCCCCAGTCCCAACCTTACCGCCGTTGTTCTGTCCATCACCTGCCTCCCACACCCCTTTTATCCACCGTCCAACTGCACATGGATGGCACGTGAATGGCATGCGATTGGCATTTGAGTGGCATGCGAATGGTATGTGAATGGCATGTGAATGGCATGTGAATGGCATGTGAATTCAATGTGATTTACTGGAATGGCATAAGCATGGCATCTGAATGGTATGTGGATAGCCTGCAAGTGGCATCCGAATGGCATGTGAATGGCATGCCAATGTGTGAATGGCATGCCAATGTGTGAATGGCATGCCAATGTGTGAATGGCATGCCAATGTGTGAATGGCATGCCAATGTGTGAATGGCATGCCAATGTGTGAATGGCATGCCAATGTGTGAATGGCATGCGAATGTGTGAATGGCATGCGAATGTGTGAATGGCATGCGAATGGTGTGCATGCATCCTGGGCGGCAGGTACGTGCAGGATGTGGCTGGCAGCCTGCAGGCAGCCGTGGCAGCAGCCAATGCACGCCATGTCGCCACACACGCCGTGCCACCGCCTTCACCAGCGTCCCCCGCTCCTACTGTGTCTCTTCCGCAAGCAGAGGCAGCGCCTGCACCGCCACAGGCGGGACGAGCAGCTTCACCCGCCAACTCGATTTCAGCTGCAGTTGCAGTGGCAGCACAAGTGGCACCAGCAATGGCAGCAGCAACGGCAGCAGCAACACCACAGGGGGCAGGGGAGGTTGAAGTGAAGGGCGACACAGAGGATGGGGTTAGTGAAGCTGAGGAGGAGTGCGATGGGGCAGTGGATGGGGTGGGCGTCAAAGGGGGTGAGAGTGCATTGCTGGATGGGGTGAAGGATGAGACGAGCAGGGATGATGCTTCCCTTGCTGCAGCCCCCTCCTCCCATGCATCCCATCCATCCCAACCATCGCACTCGTCCCATTCATCTCTCACCTCCTCCAGATGGTCCACTCCACCCGAGTCCTCCCTCCCACATGCCGCCCCACCCTCTCCCTCGCCCTCGCCCTCACCCTCTGCGTCCGACGCGCTCCGCCTGTCACACGCCCGCAGGGCAGCAGCAGGCGAGTCTGCTGTCCTCCCCGGCCTCCTCACTCCTCTCCTCGCCTCACCCCACCCCTCTGCACCACGGGCTGTGCGCCAGTCCTCCCCATCCTGCGTGGTGGTGCCCCTGCCCCCTCCCAGGGGGAAAGGGGGTGGCGAGGGGGGCAGGGGGGAGTCTGGTCTGCACTCTCAACCCCTTCCGCTTGCTCCCAGTGCTGAGCGCGCCCATGGCCCCTGGGCCCTGCTCGCCCCCTGCCTGCCCGGCTGCCGGTGGTGCGGGCACGTGGGGTGCAGGTGGTGCGGGGACAGGGGGTGCCGCTGGTGTGGTGATGGGGCGGATGCACCGTGCGATGACGTAGAGAGAGGGGCGGAGGCTGCAGAGGGAGAGTGGGAGGGACGTAGCTGCTGTGGGGCACGGGCGTGGGGTGCTGCGAGGGTGGGAAATAAGGGTGATGGGGGAGAAGAGGGGGAGGGAGGGGGTGTTGAAGGGAGGGAAGGAGGGGCAAGATTGTTGCTGCTGCCCCTGCCAGCACAGCCATCTCGACTCACAGCAGCGCAGTCAAATTTCCTCGTCTCCCAATTCAGGTCTCCCCACCACTCCCTCCCTCTCGCGCACACCACGTCATCTCTCTCTTGCCTCCTGCGCTGCATCTCTTGCAACCCCCCATCTCTCTGCAATAGCTTCCGACACTCTCTCCTGCCCATGGTAGTGCCTACCTCAAGTTCCTCCCTCCACTCCCCCCCCCACCTTCTCAATCCCAGCAGTGCGCGGCGGTGGTGCCCGTACTGCCGAGTGCAGCAACCAGTGCGCGCCAAGCACTGCTACGACTGCGGCCGCTGTGTGCTGCGCTTCGATCACCACTGCTTCTGGGTCTCCACATGCATCGGCCTGCGCAACCATGCGCGCTTCTGGTAACCACGCTCGCTTCTGGTAACCACGCTCGCTTCTGGTAACCACGCTTGCTTCTGGTAACCACGCTCGCTTCTGGTAACCACGCTCGCTTCTGGTAACCACGCTCGCTTCTGGTAACCACGCGCGCTTCTGGTAACCACGCGCGCTTCTGGTAACCACGCTCCCCCCTGCTACCTGTTTCTGATGTGCATGAGGTTAAGCTATTAGGCTGTGGTAGCTCTCCCACACATAACGGAATAAACCACTTTCACTTGACCACAATCAATTGCTCTATTGCGTTTGTCCCCTCCTCCACCCCCCTGCTCCCACGCCCTTATACCATTTCCTCTTACCACCCCCTGGCATGGCACGGCACGGCATGGCGGAGCAGGGTGTACCTGGTGTTGGAGTGCTGCCTCACGTGCTGGTCGCTGCTCATCTGCCTCTCCGCCTTCACCGCCCCCATCTCACCCAACCACTGGTCCGTCCCTCCTGCCCCATCCCTGCCTCACCTCCCCTCACGCCCACCTCACCCCGTCCACGGCATGCCAACCACCTCTCTCTCACCCCCTTCTTCCGTGTGCCCTCCCCCATCGCCATCCATGCACCACCTTCCATGTCCCCCTCCACTGTCCACCCCCTCCCCACCGGGCACCAGGCTGGAGCACCAGCTGTCAGCGCTGGCGTTCACGGCGCTGCTGCTGCCGCTCGCCGTGTTCCTCGCCATCCTCGTGTGCTTCCACACGTGAGTCACGTCCCTCCGCCACTCGTGAGTCGCTCTGCCACACATCAGTCCCTCCGCCACTCGTGAGTCGCTCTGCCACACATCAGTCCCTCCGCCACTCGTGAGTCGCTCTGCCACACATCAGTCCCTCCGCCACTCGTGAGTCGACTCTCTCTGCCACTCGTGAGTCAAGTCACTCTGCCACTCGTGAGTCAAGTCACTCTGCCACTCGTGAGTCAAGTCACTCTGCCACACGTGAGTCAAGTCACTCTGCCACTCGTGAGTCAAGTCACTCTGCCACTCGTGAGTCAAGTCACTCTGCCACACGTGAGTCAAGTCACTCTGCCACTCGTGAGTCAAGCCACTCTGCCACACGTGAGTCAAGTCACTCTGCCACTCGTGAGTCAAGTCACTCTGCCACACGTGAGTCAAGTCACTCTGCCACTCGTGAGTCAAGTCACTCTGCCACACGTGAGTCAAGTCACTCTGCCACTCGTGAGTCAAGTCACTCTGCCACACGTGAGTCAAGTCACTCTGCCACTCGTGAGTCAAGTCCCTCTGCCACTCGTGAGTCAAGTCACTCTGCCACACGTGAGTCAAGTCACTCTGCCACACGTCAGTCCCTCTGCCATCCACTCGTGACTCGCTGACTTGATCTGCATGTCTCATGTCTATACGACTCTCCCCTCTCTGTGGCTGACTGCGTGTCTTGCCATGCTATGCCATGCGAGGTCATGTTACGCCATGCCATGCCGTGCTTTGCCATGCAGGCACCTTATTCTCACGGCACAGACAACATATGAAGCCACCAGGAAGCATCGCATCTCCTATCTGCGGTGCGTTGTGCATGCCAGGCACATTCATTGACATGCCGGGCACATGCATTGACATGCCAGGCACATGCCTTGACATGCCGGGCACATGCATTGACATGCCAGGCACATGCCTTGACATACCAGGCACATGCATTGACATACCAGTCACATGCATTGACATACCATGCACATGCATTGACATACCATGCACATACCTTCACGTCCCAGGCACATGCGTTCACATGCCAGGCACCTGCATTGACGTGCGACATGCCAGGCACATTCCTGTCCGCCGACGCATCACTGAGTGCGCACTCCCCGTCCATCGCTGCGTGCTGCACCACACTGCAGGTCGGTACCCGGGGACGTCCATCCGTTCAGCCAGGGCGCCTGCCGCAATGTGCTGCACCTGTGCTGCCTCAGTCGCCATGTGCTGCCGATTTATGCCGTCCCATCGCCAGCCGTGCTGCACGCCATGGCCTCTGGGGCATACACCACTCGCTCACGGACGTGGGGGCCGTGTTGCTCCTGATGCGATGCCCGCTCCTCCATCAGGGACCCCGCCTGTACCATAGCTCCGTTTTAGTTCAGTTCTTATTGTCCTGCTGCATGGGAGTGTGCATCAGGCTTCTTTGGATGGTGACTAATGGCATATGCCATACCATGCTTTCCTCATTTCAAGAGCTCAACGCAACGCTTGCCACTTGTCATGTAATACTGTTTTCTTCTATTCAACTGGCATCAAGCCGTACACTAGTCGTCCCAGCTTGTTACACGCAGAAGCAATGATACAGAAGATTTTGTTGGGCTGAAAAAAGGCCCTTACGATCTTTGTAGGACTAAATTCAAGGTAGGATGATGTAATAGAGGAAGCGTTTAATTAAGACTTGTGAACCACCTTGCGCTAGTATGTGAGGGCAAAGTAAGTTGATTAAAACAAGCAAGTACAAAGGTTTATATAAGAGTACAAGGAATACGAAGAGATACAATTAATAACTGCTTTGCTGTTTGCTGTTGCGGTTCGATACAGTGCGACTCTGGCAACTGTTCAATATCGAGTCAGTTGTGTGTCCTTGCTGTCGCGCTGACCTTTGACTTTCTCGTAACCTCCAACTGTTGTTTCAACCTCCGAGGGTTGACTCGCCGATGCTTCGATATGTTCTGCTTCGCTTCTGACTTGGTGTTTCGACACGACAGAGGCGCATTTAGATTACTTGTTCCCAACACTCCCCTTCGCTTCTGGAGTGTCGCTGCTGGTGACGTGGCTCTGTCCAGTCAGCAGCATGCAGTACTCGAACTTCTGCTTTCCGAGCTTCTTGGTCAAGTAATCAGCTGCCATCTCGGACGTGGGGCAATAGGATAATTCAAGTCTCCCCTTTTCGATCTCGTCTTTCACGAAGAAATATCGCAGGGCGATATGCTTCGTTCTGTTCGAGAATCCGTTTTTGTTGGCGATGCGAATTGCAGATTGGTTGTCGCAGAACAGAGTGAAGCTGGGTAACTCAGCCAGCTTCGCTTCCTCCAAGAGTTCGCGAAGGTACAATCCTTCCTTGGTGGCTGAACAGAGTGCAATATATTCTGCTTCAGCTGAGGAGAGAGCGATTAATTCCTGCTTGCTCGACTGCCACGCGATAGGTTCGAGACGGTAGATGTAGCCTGTGCGCGAGCGTCTGTTGTCAGAATCTCCAGCGTGATTGGCGTCGACGTAGCCGGTTAGCTTAGGCGTTGTAGTTCCGTTCTTGTAGTAGGTCAGGCCGATCGTTGGTGTACTGACGAGGTAGTGAAGAGCGCGGTCGAGCTCCGCCATGTGTTCAGCTTCAGGCCTTTTAATGTAGGTGGCGAGTTGACTTGCAGAGTACGATAGGTCCGGGAAGCAGGTGACAGCTGCGAAGAGAAGGCATCCCAGCTTCCTCTGGTAGTCGCGTATCCCGGCAGGCTTGAGGGGAGTCCTGCCGTGTAGCGATATGGCATGGAGATGGTAGTTGGCGTGAGTGCGAAGCGTTTGGCGATGGTGTCGGCGTATTTAGCGGCGTTGAGGTAGATCGCGCCTCTTCTTCCCGGATGTTCAGATCGAGGTACTGTGTGACGGTAGAGGAGACCGTGAGCGTGATATCCTTCTGTAACTCCCCTTTGAACCAGGTGGTGATGCCGTCGGCGGAGCCGATGTAGAGCAAGTCGTCTACGTAAACAATGAGCAGGATGTAATCGGTGCCTTTTGTAAACCGGTACATTCCTTGGTCGTGAGGTAGCTGGCGGAACTCGATGCGGACGAGCCTGGCGTGTAGGTACTGTTGCCATAGCCTCGGGGCTTGTTTGATGCCGTAGAGCGACTTCAGTAGCTGACAGACTTGATTAGGCTCTCCGTTGGAGCCGTGTGGGAGCTCGACGAAGATCTCCACGTCGACAGGTGCGTAGAGGAACGCGTTGGCGACATCGATCTGTCGTAGCTTCTTCTTTTTCATGGCGGCGATCGCGAGGAGGATTCAAAGTGAGGTGTGTCGGCTGACCGGTGCGAATGTCTTGGTGAAGTCCCGTCCGTGCTCCTGATCGAATCCACGCACAACCCAGAGTGCTTTGAACTTCTCAATTGTGCCATCTGCTTTCGTTTTAACGCGGAAGACCTATTTCCTGGTGAGAATGGTCTTGTTTCTTGCCATGCTGATGAGAACGACTTTCCATGTGTTCCGTTCCTCCAGTGCTTTTAACTCTCTGTCCATGGCTTCACGCCATTTCTCCCTATGTTCCCCCCCCAGAGCCTGCTGAATTGTCGCAGGCTCCTTAGGAAGAGCCGTGCCGTGGACTGCGGTGACGAGGCCGAGAATTTGCAGTCCACTCTGTGAGTAGCGGGGGAGATTTGCGTCGTCGGGATAAGCTGCTTCATCTCCCGCTTCTGGATCATGTATAAAATTTGGCCCTACTCGTTCTGCTTCATTGGTGTTGACTGTCGCAGGTGTTACGTAACCGTTGTCGGCGAAATAGTAGAAGGTTTCGGCGTTGACACTTTCGCGAGGGTTATCTTCGTCCATGGGAACATCGACGGAGCAGAACGGAAGAGGCCCAGCTTCTTCTTATGTGTTGTCCACATTCTGCTCGTCCCAGTCAGCTTCGTCCGCTGCCGAGGCGAAGGCTCGGTCGCCACGAAAACCACCTGTGGGATCTTGGTGTCAGAGGTCCACTGGTGATCCCCGATTGATCCTAGGGAAGGGTTACAGGCACGTTGGCCTGGAGGGTTATGGGCGCACTGACCCGCTACTTAACAAGCCCTTTTATCCCAATGGTTAGTGGTTGGAATTCTAACATGTTATCAGAGCGAAGGTCTCGCGTTCGAATCCCGGTGTATGCACTTCGGGCATCCCAGTGCGGGGGGGTGTCAGAGGTCCACTGGTGATCCCCGATTGATCCTAGGGGAGGGTTACAGGCACGTTGGCCGGCGGGGTTATGGGCGCACTGACCCGCTACTTAACAAGCCCTTTTATCCCAATGGTTGGTGGTTGGGATTCTGACACTTGGTCTTCTTGCAGGTTGGCAAGGTATGTCTGGAGCGTGAGTCGCTCGTAGAAAATTACATCACATGCTGCTACTGTTTCCTTAGAGTGGATGTCGAAGATTTTCCACGCGTTGTAGTTCTTTTCGATGCCCAGGTGTAATCCCCACTGTGCGCGTTGAGAAAATCGGCCTGCTCGTGCTGCTGGGGGTCGGTACTGTACCATGCATCCAAAAACTCGTAACATTTTTGTGCTGCCCTGTTTCCCTGTCCACAGCAGATGTGGTGATGCGTTGTTCGGAAGCGATGATGACGAGAGCAAGTTGTGCAGCATGACGGCGTGGTCCATTGCCTCAGACCACTGGTGATTGGGTAGCCGCATGCCACGTAACAGCTTGCGCATGCTGTTATGCAGGGTTCATTCTTTCTGCTACACCTTGCTGTTGATGGGCGTAGGGAAGGGAGATGAGTCGCTTGATTCCCCTTTCCGCCAGGTACAGCTTGAATCACTGAGAGGTGTATTCTCCTCCTCCGTCTGACTGGAAGCTTTTCAGCTTCACGCCCGATTCTCTCTCTGCTACTGGTAGCCAGGCAACGAAGGCTTCGAAGGCCATGTCGCGGCTAGGAAGGTTTAGGTGCCAGACGTAGCGGGTGGCGGCGTCGATGAAGGTGATCGTAAAATTGTATGCTCCTTGTCCTGGTTCCCGGTTGTACAGGATGTCGCTGTACACCTTCTCGAGTGGTGCGTAAGCAGGTGCGCTCGGGTTGTGATGAGAAGTGAACGGCTGATGTGGTAAGTCGGCCTCGGGGCAGGTAAGACATGTTCCTCGTGCCCGTTGAAGCTCTCTGCCATCGAGTAGTCTTAACGAGTCCTTGTCAAGAACTACTGCTCTGATTGTATTATTTAACACAGTGTTGCTTGGGTGTCCCATGCGTGCGTGCCAGATGTCTTCAGAGGCGCGGTGTCCGGGTGAGCGTCGATACGCGTCGGAGTTGGAGTAGAAGCCGGCGGTGAAGTTGGCACTTCTGTGGACTTCTCGTGGAGCCGGATTCAACTGCTGCGCGGGTGTTGGTGGTGATTCATCGACGAGGACTGGTGTCGTTGAAAAACCAGCGATCGGTGTCGTTGTTGCTGCCGCTACTGCCGTCGTTGTCTCTGCTGCTGCCGTTGTTGTTGTCGGAAAATATAAGTTAATATTTTCTATATGTAACTGCCTGTAGGATTGGTTACTGTAGTTATAGCATTCTCTTAGTTGGTGGTGCACCTTTCTTGTTGGTTCTTTCCTATTTGTACCCTCGCTCAATATTGAATCACCCTCTTTTTGTTGGTACAACTTCTCCCTCGCTACTCTCGTTTTCCTCAAAACCTAGCCATGGCGCCTAAGATTAATCTACTATTTTGATAGTTGTCTCTGCTGCTGCCGATGTTGTGTTTGCTACAGCCGTCGTTGTCTCTGCTGCTGCCGATGTTGTCTCTGCTACTACCGTCGTTGTCTCTGCTACTGCCGAATGTTGAATTGTTACTAACGCGCGTGTTCGTTCTGCATCAGGGATGGTATGCAAATACCAGAAGCCTTCCGGACTGAAGTCGGGGTCGAGATCCGGCGGGTGCGTCCAAGAGGTGAAGGTGACGATCCCGTCACTGTCCACAGTGCCGAGATCTGGGACGAAGTCGAGGACGAAGACATTGTTCTTCAGAACCGCCTTTCCGATGTAGAGACCGCCCTTCCCCTGGTCCAACTTGAACTCCTGAGTGGTGCTATCGGCTTCGAGGTGTATGTGTGAAGATAGGTAAACAGGGAATGAAATGACTAAGTCAGAAATTGGTACAAATAACAAACCCTAGGAACCTGTACCCCATATGGGCTACCCCACTATAGCCTACAAACATGCATCAGCTATAATGTTCTGACACACCCCCATAGGCAAAGTGGGGGAGAACAAGGGGTCACAAGACCAGTCAAGCAAAGCAAAACAAGCTCAGGGTGGATCACAAAGTCACCACACAGTCCGAGCACAAGAGCAGGGCCAGAGGCCAGTTCACATGC